TTGAAATGAGTTGTTATGTTGTTAAAACGTGTTGTTAAATAGTATTGATGAGTTGTTGTGCTGATAAATTGTGTTGTTAAAGTTGTGAGTTGACTGTGTTGTTCAAGTTGTGAGTTGACTATGTTGTTCAAGTTGAAAGTTAATTGAGATGATGAGTTGAAAACTGTGTTGATCGTGCTGTGATGATGAGTTGTTGATCACTAAGATTAGAGGAGATGTTTTCGAAGTTGCTCATCCCATTGTGTGGATTGAGATAGTTGTGGTGCTCTGAAAGCCCAATTTGTTGAAAAACCCTCCTTGGAAAGTTGTCCCTTGGAGTGGATGATGTGTTGTTCTCTTCTAGGACTTAGTTGGTCTCGTGTGTGGGCAAGGTCGAGACACACGTGTACAAAGCGACCATGGTATAGGGGCCAGGTCGAGCTATACCAATTACAAGCGACCAATTCAAGTAAAGTACAAAGTCGGGAACTTAGTTCCTAACCGAGTATTGGAGGGTTGTAGTATTTGGAGGATAGTCAGTAGGCTAATCCCATAGGTGGCTTAGTTGAGCTAGCTAATGCCGTGGTAGGCCTAAACCTAGTTATCCTATCCTGACATAGTACTATACTTTATTGTTTAAGTGGCAAAGTCTGAGAAACCGTTTTTATGTTGTGGAGTGATATCCAAATTTTTACCTAGCAAGCTCAAAAAGGTTCTGTGTTGTTGGTTCGGTAGGACCTAATGTTGTAGGATATCTTTGAGTTGTAAATGCGTGACGACGCATAAGTTGTTGATGAGTTGAATTGTTGTTGATGAGTTGAATTGATGTTGATATGAGTTGTATATATGTTGTTGTGTTGTGAAGCTGTGATTGAGTTGTGTGTTGTCATGTGTTGTATGTTGACCCTGTTGAGAATGATGATAGTGTTATTATGTTGAAAGTTGCTTATTTAAAATATATGTTGATTCTTTTCACTAGCTTACCCTTGCATGTTTCCATGTGGTGTGGACTGCGATGATCATACTATGTATGAGAGCAGGGCAGGGATAGGTTATTGTGAGCTGTTGGATGCCACTTGGTGGTAGGAGCTTGAGTAGATGATTTTTTTTTGTAGGCTACCTTGGAGTAGCATTTTGTTGGCATTATATATATATATATTTGGCATGTTGAGCCTTTTATGGTTGGATAAATGTATATATTTTCTTATTATACTATTTTAGTATATATTTTAGTGATGTGTGGTGTTGTTTTGTAGTATAACGACCATGGTGGGTCATTACACAAATGATATATTAAATTTTAATTAAATAATGTATTTATTTTTATATTATAAATATTTATATTTCAAATTTTATATATATAACACACGAGGTAAAAACTCAACAACTTTAAAATCAGTTTTCATTAATTAAAGACATATTTAATTTTTCTTAAAAGCCTTTTGTTTACGGGAAACCCATTAACTTAACAACCATTTTATTTCCGGAACAATTTATTAAGTTAAAATTATTTTATATTATTTTAAAGTTTAAATATATTTTTAATTTCTCAAATTTAATATAAATTTATTTTTAGACTTTAAAATTTAAAATTAATCTTTTTAGTCTTTATAATTTTAAATTTTTTTTATTTTAATCTTTATATTTAAATTTTATTTAGAAATATGTCAAAGTAGTCACATAAAACTTATGTACCGATGTCTCTATTAGTAAAAACATCATTTTAAACCTAATTAATACTGTATAATTGTTCAATAAATCAATTTCAGGTATATTATAAGTGATTTTAAAGATTAAAATAATTTTTTTTAAAATTATAAAAAATAAAAATAACAATTTTAAATTTGAGGGACCAAAAATAAATTTACTCTAAATTTGAGGAACAAGAATATATTTAAATAATATTTCAATTATAAACTCATACCTAATGTATTTTTTATTGATTATGTCAATGTTAACTTTTTTTTATATAGATAATATATAGAAATTAAACTCTTTAATAATTTTATTTTGATTTGATTTATTGATCTTTTGATTTGATTATATATATATATATATATATATATATATTATATATATATATATATAAGAGAAAATGAAAAATGCATAATTTAACTTAAAATAAGATTTTGTATATCGATAATTGTTAGTCCAAATAATATTATATTAAATTTGATTTCTTTAAGTAGGATATTAGATTCGATTCATGCATATGAAAAATACATAATTAAGAGGGGAGACCTCACTAAAATTGTTTAGTTAGGTTCTCTGACGGAAAATAATTATCAGTGAAACCAATTGATACTTTATATCAATAAATTGGTTTAAAAAATACACTTCATTCTTCATTCGCCTTATAATAAGTGTTGTGTTGAAGAAAAATAAGTATCGTGTTATATTAGTTTTTTAATATAGTATTAATTACTCCCAATATTTTTTATTATAAGCACAAAAAACACGCACGTTTGTTTTCTTAAATATAATCAAATTTTAATTACACTTTTGTCCCATTTAAAATTACTCTCTCCAAATTATATTTCTTTTAATGCATAATATTTTAGTTGTGTTATTTATTTTAGCATTATAACAACGACAATTTAAAATAAATATTATGAGAATAATAAAATTTAATACAAATAACTAACTTTCTTAGTATGCGTAGAATTAATTTTTTTACTTATAATAGAGAATTGACAGAATATTTCTTTTCATTTATACCATTCATAATATTTTTTAAAAAATAATTATTATATTATATATTTTTAGTAAAAAGGATTATAAAATTTAAAGTTTAAGAATATTTATTATAATACGATTTTATAAATAGACCTACATATTAATTAAGAACTTTTAATGGAATGTTGACTTTTGAAATAAAACTTTCGACTATAATTAAAGACATTAAATGATGTAAGAGTAATTTAACTTATGCCCAATGTAATTAAAACTTATAACTCCTATACCTTTCAATAACTTAGTGTTGAAATAAATTCTAGTTTACCGACTCATGATAACGACCTATATATGCAAATGTTTTGTCATTATAGACGTGTTGCGAAAAATAAATAATTATTTTTACTTATAAATATTATTTAATGCACGTAAAATTAAAATATTTGTCTCTCAAGAAAAAATTAAAATATTTGTAAGTAAATTTTTTTTTTGTTGTTGTATAAGACATGGTGTATAAATAGATTGTCTGTGAATCAATATAAAGTAAATATCACTCAAATATTTTGTTAGTCTCTCAAATTTAGGAAAAATTTATTTTTATCCTCTTAAATTTAAAATTATTATTTTTAGTGCCTATAATTTAAAAAAAATTATTTTAATATTTTAGATTACCAATAACATATATGAAAATGATATATTGAAACAAATATGCAACATCACTTAGGTTTGATATGTTCTCTAATAACGACACTAGTAAATAAATTTTATACGATAATATTTTATGGATTCTCTATCAAAATTTGAGTACAAAGATTAAAATAAATTTTTTTAAAATTACAAAGACTAAAAATAGTTATTTTTTAGTGGAAAATTTTATCTTTTATTACAAGTCAATTTTTTAGTATTTTTTATTAAATCAAAATATTTAATTTTCAAAATAACTGTTCTAAAGTCAAATTTTATAAAGAAAACGTTTTGTTTAATTAATGTATTTAACTCTTAGTGTAAAAGTTAATAAACAAAAAAAACATTTAATATCTTATACATTTTAAATTATTTAATGTTTTTAATAATGTAGAAAAGAAATAAATTTGTAATAATATACGTATGATTTTAAATTTAAATGTGTATGCAGCCGCATTAAATCTTGGGGCCAGCTATCCCACCCTTTGAGGTGCCTCCAACGTAGCGAGGAGATTAGTCACTGCTGTCGGCGGTGGATACTCCAGGAACGAACCTAAAAAAATTTAAATTTTATTGTTATCATTCTAATTTCTTTTATGAATAAAAATATAATAAGTCTTATTATTCAAAGAAAATCAGCGTATAGCAAGGCACTAAAATTATTGCAATTATTGTATATAAACTCAATTGTCAAGAAAAAAAATAATTTTTTTAAAAATTTTACTCGTTTATTTATATATATATATATATATATATATTTATTTATTTATTTAGGATGAGGCCCATTAATCCTTTTCATTTTATCAACGATTAAATAAGTTATTAATAACTTTTTTTTTAATTTTCTTTCTCACTTGTGTATTTAATAGAGAATTCAACTTTCGGTTAGTTTCTACTTCCTCTTATTTTATTTCGGTAGTCAATTCAGAGAAATTTAAATATTTACTCATTTTTTTATTTAATATCTTTTTAACTATCATAATTTTTTTCTTACATTCAAATATACAATAAAGACATTTATTCCATAGACTTAATTAAAAAAATTATAATTTTTTTAAATATTTTTATTACGAAATTATAATAAAAAAACCCCATAAAAAGATATATCATTATTAAATAATTACTAATAAGACACTATTTTAAAACGAATGCTAGTGACTACTCTCTGGCATATTTAGTTAAAATTTAGTAGAAATTACAAAATTTGGTGAATTCCTCATTTATTTAAATCTATCATGATTTTTTTGTTGTTGTAATTTTTAGTAAACTTTAACAATTAAAAAAGAGTGTATCACAAGAAATGTATTGTTAGCTAATTCGTGGTGAATAGGAGAATTTTATATTTTATTATTAAATCAATCAAATTTCACACATTGATGTATATAAAAAATGATATAACATTATTTTTGTATTAAACTTTTTTTATCATTAATAATATCACTTCATTTAATAAATGAAGTGATGGAGAGAAATATAGAGACAAAATATATTATATATATTGTAGTATAATTTTTGTTGTACACATAAAATTATTTGATTGATGGATGGGTGATAACTTACAGAATTACACATGATTGAGTCTCTATAAAAGATGATCCTGTTTAGCCTTTGGCACATTCATTTTCTGATTGTTTCTTACTATAGAGAGAGTGTGGTTAGGGATAATGGCCCCAAGTGAGAGCAAGAAGGTTCATGTGGAGAAAGTGCCTTATCGAGGAGTGAGGAGAAGACAATGGGGGAAGTATGTGGCTGAGATTAGAGACCCCTTCAAGAAAAAGTGTGTGTGGCTCGGAACCTTTAACTCTGCCATAGATGCTGCCAAAGCATACGATGTTGCCGCCATTCAGATTCGTGGACCTGACAAGGCCAAAACAAACTTCCCAATCCCTCCCTCGCACCTTCTCACCTGCTCAACAACTCATCACCAAACCCACTCTAAACAAACACTTATACTTGATTTGGATCTTAACCAATATCCTGCCCAAGAAATTCCTTGAATCGGGACTTATGTTATTTCGGTTTTAATTATGTGCTTTGCTTCACTTTTTATGTTTCTTGTTCAATGGGTTATTCTGTGACTTATGATTATCTTGCTCAAAATTAGTCATGCTGTTTCACTCTATGATAGTTCAATGAGGTGGCACTAGTGTTGTAGACTCAGCAGATTGATTTTTGTCCTAATAATTAAGATTGATTCAGTCTATGATAGTTTAAATTTTAATTCTTAATTAATGAAATAATATTGTTTTCATGTTGGATACTAAATCCAAAAGCATGTTTGGGAATAAAATAAGTAACTGAAAATTCGAGGAACAGGGATGGTACTGGTTATCAGCAGGTGGATTGAGTGCCATTTCATTTATTTATTTAAAATCTTAATGATGAAAGAAAGAGAGCATCTTAACTCCGATTGAATGACATTGGACTTTAGTGTTGATGATCACGAATTCACAATTAATTAACTCCGTTCTTCGTAACATGTTCGTATGCCATGTCAAATGTAACACCAACTTTAATTCCTTTCATTAGCTACATAATCACACTAAAAATACATCAGAGTGCCACCAAACAAAACCATAACCTGTAATTTATCCCAATGTATGTCATTTTTAAAATGGAATTTTCATTAATCCACAACATGATGAAAATTGCCGATCTGATTCCACTATGAGAGTTCAAAAACATTACAGACCCCCGTAGATATGTATGTGGATAAATTAACACTAAAAAAAAAAAAGATCAAATGAACAAGCCCAAATTTTTCTCTTACAAAATGGTTTGTCACGTACTATATACTTAATTAATATTCTAGATAATTTTTTTGTCATGAACATAAGATTATATATAGATTGTCTTCCCGCATCAAACCCAGACGAACCGTTGGCTCTGATACCACTTGTTGGGCCCGATAGTCCACCTGTTGCTCCACCATAGTATGATATTGTCCGCTTTGGGCTAGGCCCGCACGGTTTTGTTTTTGGGCTCCTTCCCAAAAGGCCTCATACTATATGGAATGGTGGACACCCTTATAAACTAGCCAATGTTCCTTCATTTTACAGATGTGGGACTTGGGATGAATCCCAACAAACCTCCCCTCAGACCAAGGACCACATGTCTCGTGACCTCCTCCCCTCAAGCGATAATCAGTCACCATCTTGTACCGTCGTTAACTCTACGGGACACGCCGCCTGAACACCACAATATCAAGAAGACTTTCGACACAAGGCACCAAGTTCGGATCTCCATCGCGAGGCACAACACTGAGGGTCTTCCCGCATCAAACCCAGACGAACCGTTGGTTCTAATACCACGATAGTCCACCTGTTGCTCCACCATAGTATGATATTGTCCGCTTTGGGCTAGGCCCGCACGGTTTTGTTTTTGGGCTCCTTCCCAAAAGGCCTCATACTATATGGAATGGTGGACCCCCTTATAAACTAGCCAATGTTCCTTCATTTTACAGATGTAGGACTTGGGATGAATCCCAACAGATTTGATTTCCATCTTCATTTTATTAAAACCTATTTTTTAAATAAAATTACAGCTTAATTTTTGGTAATTAAATATATATATTTTTTATAATACTCAAGGGTGTTAATATAATTTAATTACTCTATCTAAAATTACTCCTCACAAGAGCTTTCCTCTCAACTTTCCATAGGAAGCAAGAATCCTTTCATGTCACTTTATACAACTGATCAGTTTGTCTAGCTTGAGTCTCCTTAAGCATGTATGTTGATGCTTGCGCATTAACCAATATAAATCATATATACTATACAAGATTATATGGGATTTGACCACTTTTTAATGAACATATATATATTTTGGACTGTTTTAGGCCAAAAAGATGACATGTTTTCATTCTTTTATGAGCAGCTACAAGGATCTCTTTTCAATAATTCAAGGATATTAATATATACAATTATTAAAAAAACAAATAAATAACGCTAATTCTGCTTATTACTTACGAGCTAATCTTAATCAAGTCTAGGAAGTAAATGAAATCATATTGCACACTATTAAATAAAATACCATTAAAGATACTAGACCCAGAGTGATAAAGGAGATGCCATGCATTGTTGAGTTTTTTTTTCTTTAATTAGTCCACAATGCTAAAGGTGCGTAGATTTTTTATAATTCAACGAAGCAAACATAAAAACTTGTCCTAATAAAGATAAAAATATACTTTTCGTCCCTTAGTCTCATTTTAATTAATTGAATCAATTTAGTCTCACATTTTTAAAATGTATCTCAATGTTTGATTTTCCGTTTCATCCGTTTAAATATTTAACGGATATGACACGTTTCATGCCACATGGCTGGACATCATGACACGTGGCATGATGATATGACACATGACACGTGGCATAACAGTATGACACGTGACATAATAGCATGACACATGTTAAATCTGTTAAGTATTTAAATTAAAAAAATGAAAAATCAAACATTAAGATACATTTTAAAGATGTGGGACTAAATTGATTCAATTAATTAAAGTGAGATTAAATTGACACTAATAAATAATATAAGGGACGAAAAAATGTATTTTTGTCTCCTAATAATCCAATAAAGCGAAGAGAAGATTTATGAGCATTATGACAAAATCCACGATTTGTCTACTAGGTACTACTATTAACGATGTTCCAACATTATGGGCTAATTAAGAATTTCCAAACTAATTTAAAGACGACGATAATTGAATTTAATTATTGCTAATGAAGGCTAAATTGTGACTGCTGAAAGTTTATGCAAATTTAGAGTAGTAACACCAAAATTTAGAGCATAATTGAGTTTCACTGAATTTACATTAATGAGCATAGTATGCAAGCTCTCAACAAGTCCTCTAACGACTGAATCATCCTTTTCGATTGTCCATTTGTCTATGGGTGATAGGTAGAACTCAATGTCAATCATGTTCCTAAAGCTTAATGTAAACTCTACAAGAACTTAGAAGTGAACATCAGATCCCTGTCAGAGATAATAATAAAAGGTACACCATGCAACCATACTATCTCCCTAATATACAACTATGTAAGCGTTTCCAAGGACCACTTCTTGTTGATTGGAAGAAAATGTGCACATTTAGTCAACCTATCAATAATCACTCAAATAATATCCCTATTCCTAGTGGATCTAGGAAACCCAGTAATGAAGTCCATCGTGATGCTATCCAACTTCCACTTGGGAATTTCCATAAGCTATAATAAGCCAGATAAGCTACAACATACTCAGCCACCTCCCTCTTCATATCAGGCCACCAAAAACTTCTCTTGATATCTTAATACATCTTAGTCATACCAGAATGTATGTTAAAAAGACTCTTGTGTCTTTCTTCCAAAACAACTTTCCTTATCTCAAAATTTTGAGCTAAGCAAATTCAGCCCTTGAACCTCAAAGTCCTATCACCTCCCAACTCAAAACCACTTGTTTTCTCCATGCCTACCAATCCCAAAATTCTCAACAATTCAAGACTTTGCAATTGCTTTACTCCAATCTGTCTCAAGAACTCATTAGTTATAGTAGTCATCTCACAGTTAATGTGGTCTTGAGTTAGTTCCACATCAAGGTTTAGAACTCTAAATCTATCCACCAATTCCAAGTCTTTCACCATCAAAGCAAACATGTGAATGAATTTTTGACTCAAAGCATTAGCTACCACATTTAGCTTCCTAGGATGATACATCAACTGGAAGTTATAGTCCTTCCAGAACTCCATCCACCTTTTTTGTCTCATGTTCAACTCTTTTTAATCAAACAAGTACTTCAAGCTCTTGTGATCACTAAAGACATTGAACCTCGCACCATATCGATAATGACTCCATATCTTCAAGGCAAAAAATCATCGTTAACTTCAAGTCATGAGTCGAGTAATTCCTCTCATGAGTCTTGCCTTGAAACATATGTAACTACTCTTCTTGAATGCATCAACACATAGCCCAGTCCCTGGTAAGAATCATCACAATACATGTTAAAGGGTTTACTAGTGTCTGACAATACCAAAACATGAGAAGTAGTCAACCTCCTCTTCAGCTCTTGAAAGCTCTTCTCACAAGTATCGGTCCAAATAAAAAGTTGATCCTTTCTAATAAACTAGGTTAGAGGCATCACTATCTTGGAAAATCCCTCAATGAACCTCTTATAGTAGCCTGCCAAATCCACAAAGCTCCTAATATTTGTAGCAGTCCTCGGATGCTCCCACTACAAAACTACCTCCACTTTAGTTTGATCCACTACAATCCCCTTAACTAAGATTACATGGCCCAAAAGCATCTCCTCACTCAGCCAAAAGTCACACTTTGATAGTTTTGCATACAATTGTTTCTCTCTCAGCACCTTCAAAACTTACCTCAAATGCTCACAATGATCCTCCAAGGTTCTTGAATAAATAACGATGTCATCTATGAACACCACCATAAACCTATCCAAGAAAGGTTGAAAGATCCTATTCATGTAATCCATGAACACCACTAGAGCATTGGTAACACCAAAGGGCATCACAACATACTCATAATGACCATAACTAGTCCTAAAAGCAGTCTTTAGTATGTCACTATCCTTCACCCTTATTTGGTGATAACCAATATCATATCTATCTTTGAAAACACGGATGCTCCCTTAAGTTGATCCATCAAGTCATTTATCCTAGGAAGTAGATATTTGTTCTTGATAGTCAACTTATTTAGTTACTGGTAGTCCACACTCAATTGAGGACCACTGTCTTTCTTCTTAACCAACAACATTGGAGCACCCCACGGAGACATACTTGGCCTCACCATCTGTTTCTCCAATATCTCCTTTACCTATTTCTTCAATTCTACCAACTTAGTTGGAACCATCCTGTAGAGGCTATTGATACTAGTTCTACACTTAACACCAGATCAATACTAAACTCCACATCCCTAATAGGAGGTAACCCATGCATCTCATCCGAAAACACCTTCGAGAAATCCTTCACCACCTCAATCTCATTGATCAAGTTTTATGACTCTACACT